TGGATCATAAGAAACGCGGACGCTCGACGGGTTAATAGTCCCCAAGAACTTATCCGTCTCAATAAGATCTCAATGTTCATTAACTCGTCGAGTACCGGTTTTATAGACACAATTAAAGAACAATAGGTCGCGGTCACCGGTGACCGCTTGGTGTTTGACAGTTTAAAATCGATACCAGTAAGAGATGAAGTTCGATACGGCACGGTACTCAAGATTGTTCGATGCTCCGACGAACAAAAAATATAATATCGAGGAAACGTTCAATATCTTTCAATGATTCTTTGAGTATGAATGTGACAATGTTAAGGATTAGCAAAGAGTTGTGAAAGAGGTGATCGTATCGCCGTACATAGGGCTGGACTGGAGATTAATAATGTGTTTCAACATACAACATAACTTCACGCCTTTTATCCCCGAATGGATAGGCAGAGGTGTACATTATGATACTTAATGCCACTGTACAACGTGACACCCACTTTTCACTATTATTTATGCTATGAGTCCCATGTAATAAGAGATGAGTCTATTGCCATATACCGGGCACAATTCCATACTCCGTGCTACTATTGAGATTTTTTTGAAAATGCCCAATAATACTATGCCCGACCCGGGAATTGAACCCTTTGCCCGGCAGTCGCTATTGCGACCACTCGGTCAACGAGGCAGTCATAATTTATTTTAGAGATTAACTATGTACAGACAGACATAATAAATATAATGTGTACAATCGCTAGCAAGACAATCTACTGCAATGTGTGTCAATCATGTTTATTGGATTTTCGATTGTATACAAAAACAATAAATTTTAAAATCCAATAAAGAAAGAGAGGAGTTATTGACCTGTTGGTTAATAAACATGAATTCAATCGTTGTAATATCTATAATTTTGTATTATGTAATTGTCCAGGAGTAACTATTTCATAAATAATGAATGTTAATATACCTAATATATTTTAATATTCTGCTTCAGAAAAACATTATCCATTGTCCAATTAATCGCTCCGTAAAACCAAATAACTTATTGTTGCATTTCATAATCACTTAACTTTAACTTAGCACATTTTTATACGTAGTGAAAAAATAGGTTATCTCCGTACAGCAATAGTCTTGCCTCAGATTTACGTGCGACTCATACATAACACAACGGTATAAATGGATTACATAAATGTTTAATTACACTGCCGCAGGTCTGGTCGCAAGTACGACTTCTGGGCAAGAGGTCTCGGGTTCGATTCCCAGATCGGGCAAAGTACTACTTTTTTATCCTCAGTTTTTTTAGTTTTAGTTCCTCAGTTTTAACCTCCACACTAGGATTTTCTCCTGTGACGTGAGTGCGTTTAGAAACATACAAATTTACATACACATGACACCCAGACCTGGAACAACAATCAGTGGATCATACAGAGGGTTGTTCCGTACGGGAATCGAAATTGCTCTCATGTTTACGTAATCTCACTTTAATTTCAGGGCAAAGTAAACAGCTTGATTGGTACATAACACGCAAATTATATATAGGTAAATTGCTACGTGATTTCCTTTAAGCATAATTGTGTTGTTTGTCATTTCGTTTGTGCCATGTTGGCTATATGTTGATAATGATTCTCTTATTTTATGTTGCGACACTATAATTAACCGCCTCTGTCGTAGTTGCATAGTTAACAAACACCTAATCTCATATACACAATACACCTTTTTTATAATATCTATCTATATATCTATCTATCTATTTATAAAGAGGTATGTAAGAATCGTAGTAAGACGATACGAATGCGATAGTTATTCGTGCTTGGCCCTCGGGTCTTCTCAGTAGACCAACACCGGAGCCCCCAATTTGTAACGCCTGTATACACCTTATTTAGATCCGGAATAACTCATCTTGTGTAGAGCAGATGGAGTAGTGACTGGACTGTTTCAGTGCACGGGGTTAGGCTTGTAAACAGTACATAATATAACATCACGCCGTTTATCCTCGAAGGGGTAGGCATAGGTACACATTACGGCACTTAATGCCACTGTACAATATAACACCCACTTTTCACTATTTATGTTATGAGTCCACTGTAAAAGGGGGTGAGCCTATTGCCATATACCGGGTGTAACTTCTGTGTGTACTTCTGCCTACCCCTTTAGGGATAAAAGGCGTGATGTTATGTTATGTTAAACCTATAAACGGTTGCTGACGTTTTCCCCTTAGGAAAAAAGCCCTTCTTAACAAATAAAGATTAAAAAAAAGGATTATAAAGAATTCACGGTCAACAAAATGCCATTCAAGAAGAAAAACAAAGATCAAAAAGGCGTCATAATAATCAAGTTAGATCGAATTCTACATCAATTTAGCACACCTTGAACGTTGATCCACTTAATAACGGCTCTAGGTGAAAACTTATCAGTCCCTAGTCAATATTCAGCACATTATTACTGGGTACATAACTTGCAAACAACTTGGATTGCCAATCAGACTTGCACAATACTACATGTTAAAACTTGAACCAACTTATTAACGACGATAGAACTTTCAAGAATCGATTTGAAGTAGATTTCGAATCATCTTACCATTACAACTGTATGAAACCATTGAAAAACAAGTTAAATAATGTTTTCATTTAAACAATTAATATCGTAAGGTTAAAAAGATTTGCAGGATAGGAGCTTTAATAAAAAGTTACTGGTAAGTTGGATCCTATAAGCAATGCACCACAGTATACTGCCGCTTATGTCCAGTATATAGAGGTATGAAGTACAGGTATTAAGTGAAATATAAAGGCAAGATTTTATAATTTATTATTTTCACGATGTAATATTTCTATAAATAAAGCATTGAAAATTGAATAAACGAGGGCCTACGCTATACTTAAATGCTCACAACAAGTTCTGAGCCGTGAATTAAACGTAAAAAACGAATAATACACTTTAACTTTGCATTAAAAACGCAGACCTGCTTACAAGTAATGAGGACAAAAAACTATTAATAAATTGATAAGAGACAGGGGATGTAAAGCACCCATATATTTAATCATCTTATCAATTTCGTCTGGCTGGGTTTCCCGGGCAGAAGCAAGGCTTTGGACACATCGATTTTGGTCCTTTTTGTTGACAAGTTGCTTTAGGTGGTGGACAACACCCACCCCCACCACCACCCGCACCCCCTCTATTACTGTTAACTACTTCCTTCATCTGCATCATAAGTTCATTTATTTGATTCGTGAGTTGGCCAACAGTGTTACACATTTGTTCGACAACATGAAAGGAAGGCGTGCTGCCCTGGAACATACCACCGTCTCCGTGAATATCATTCGTAGACGAGCAGCCAGATGCACATCTCTCGGAGGATAAGCAGGCGTCGGAAGATGACATCGGAGATGGCGCGCTGCTGTACTGATTACACGGCGGCGGCAGTGGAGGTGGACAGCCACCATTACTCATTTGATGGCTACTACTGTACTGCTTGCATTCATTACCACATGTCCCGAGAGCACAACTGGGCACTTTCGGTCGCCCACACTTCTGATCGCTATTGATTGGGCACTGCGTATTATCACACTTCGGTGGTCTATTTGCTGGGCATTGAGAATTGTTACAACTGTATGCCGTGTCAGTTCTGTATTCTTTTGGCATGCTCGTCCTGCAGTCTGGGCAGGGACATGTTACTTTTATGAGTCCGGCCTTTATATCCTTGATTTTGCCAGGGGTGTAATTCAGGCACTTGTAGTGCGCCCAACTCTGGCAGGCACCATGGCATTGTAAGCCGTTCTTGCACGTTACAGGTCCTAAGCATATCTTACATGGGTTTTTCACTTTGTTGCATTTTGACATTGTGATCAGAAACTTACTGAGCCTCTTTTAAAAACAGTTACCATGGTTGACGGCTAGCTGCCTAGGCTTGCGTTTTGAAAAGATTTATATTTATATTTATGACGGCATAGTGAATTTTGGAAATGTAATTTCATGTTGACATGCCTAAGTTTTTTTCTTTCTATGACTGTCTGTCAGATACTCTGATATATTTTCACCTTTTTGGAGGATGCTAGGTACAACAGACGTTTTTATGGTTAGCCATAGACCAATATTTATTATAATCGATTGACACGATTGTTCTTTGAGGTTCTTTGGATTGTTCTCTAATAGGTACAAAAAGGTAGCATATAATTATTATCATATGGAAGCTCAGTGCCTTAGTCAGTGCATAATATTGGCTTAATATGTATCTGAGCATTATAAATATCGTCTATGACTTAAAATCACACTAGAACCAATATTTATCCACCTCTTAATAGCCTTGCCGTCAGACCATCACAGACGGGACCTACTAAGGTGATACCCTGCCTGAGTTTTGGGCGAGATCACCACATACCGCGGCCTTGACTCGGAGCAGCATTTTGAATCACTCAAATGGTACAAAGATCGACTCTCTCTCCCACCTTTATTAAGTTGGGAGGAGCATTACATCTGTGACTATGCAGGGCTGACTGTGCAGGTTGGGAAAGAGCCTTATTTAATTAGTATGCCATATTTGCTTGATCGAATTACACAAACAATTAAATGCATGCATTTGTTTAGACAGTATTACATCAAGTGCCAGCTTGGCTCCTAACTGGTTTTAGGTGTCGGTGGCCATTACTATCTTTGTTCTGATGTCTTTCTGCACATACTGCTGTGCGACTGGTCGACTGGTCGCGTGACTATGGCATCCTAAGAAATACGGTCATTATAATTTGTATAAAATATAATAGTCTGTAACAACAAATTTTAAAGGGGAGTTTATCTATCTATCAACTTATCTATCTATATTTATTCACCGATTTAACTATTTAGGATGAAATAAAAGAAAACTTCAAGTAATAGTCAACTTCAAGTTAAATCTGATTTAACATGTAGATACTTATTAACTTTTATAAATTCCGCGTCATGCATTTTATACATAATTCATGAGAATTGCAAAGAAAGTTTGGCAGCTGCCCGTCCTTCCACGGTTTGCACCATTGGAGCCTGTTGTATCAGATTCAATTTTGCGTCACTTTGCACATAAGTTCTTTTAACTGATTTGAAAGCTTTCCAACAGTGTTGCACATCTCTTGCACGGCTTGCACCATTGAAGCTTGAGTTTTTCGATTCAGGTTGGAGTCCGACGAAGAACATTTTGTTTTGGGGCCTATAAAAAAAAAATGTAGATGGTGAGTATACGCGGCACGTGTGGTATCATTTATTATATAGGGTCTATGGTCTGCTAATGTCATGAAGCAGACCACAGCAGTAACAAAGTCTAAGATTTGGATTAAAAGGTAGATATCGGAGAAAGTACTTTCTAACTGTGCAGCACCAACATAGACTGGTGTTTAAAAAAAACTCACAGTTATTAGTCAAAAACATTCCAAAAAATAGAATAGAAGTGCCAAAACAACGAAAAAGGATGTGAAAACTATGGTTGTAAAATTAGACAGAAGAATATCCTACTGAAGTACCTCACGTATAGAGATCTATGTATAGTATAGCCGGCCCGACCGGAGTGATACCACGGCCTCACAGAAAACCGACGTGAAACAACGCCAGCGTTGTGTTTCGTCATATGCGTGAGGTTACCCGGAGGCCCAATTAAAATCCCTGAATACCCAATAATCCTCAAATTCCTAATCCCCAAAGGCCGGTAACGCACTTACAACGCCTCTGGTGTTTCGGGTGTCCATGGGCGGCGCCGATTGCTTACTATCAGGTGGCCTGTCTGATCGTTTACCGGCTTATACCATAATAAAAGAATATATGTTTGAAATAGGTATCTAGGTATGTTTCATGTTCCCAGATACCAATTGAATTAAATTACTTACAATTTAAACTATATACTTACAATTTGAAGTTGATGACAGTACTGAGCAAGATGGGGATACAACTGGTTTCTTCTTCGGTGGTTTTTCTTTTTTTTTTGGTTTTTCCGGGCACACAGGTTTTTTCACTTTTTCAGGGGGGCAGACTTTTTGTTTCGGCGGCGTAGGAGGAGCCGGAGGAGAACATGTCTTAGGTACTTTCGGTGAGCGACATGGCGAGTTAGATTGTGGCGATTTTTTCGAACCGCTACGAGGGGGTGTAGGAGGGCGCGCAGGTTGCAATCTAGGATGAGACCGTTTCTGCACTTGAGTTGCAGATTGTGGGCACTCAACAGCTGGACAACTGACCGGTTCCTTGGAACAAGTTTTGTTACCACATGTGCTCTCTGGCTTCTTTTTGGGATTCAAGGGGCAATCTTCTGAGACACACTTTGGCCCTCTGTTTGCTGGACAGTTCTGATTCGAACACGTGTAAGGTGGTTTCACTAAGTACTCTTTGGGTTGAGTCGTTTCGCAATCAGGGCACGGGCATGTCACTTTAATTATGCCAGCTTTGATGTCGGATATTTTTCCCGGTGTATAGTTGAGACAATTGAAGTGGGCCCATTTTTTGCAAGCTCCTTGACACTGTAACCCATTCCTATTGGTGACTTGTTGAAGGCAGTATTTGCAGGGGTTCTTTATTTTAGTACATGAGGTCTTAACTGCTTTAAGCTTGCTACTCATTTTAAAAGGCATTGTAAAATAGATACCATTTTGGCTTTTGCTGTTAGGTATTATGTTTTTTTGGGACGAATCCCATGATTCATTCTAGGACTCGAAATTTACCATTTTTCTAGCAGAGTTTGAAATTGTTGACAGATTTGTTTGACAGATTATTTACATTGATTGTAGAAAGTGATCTATGACTATTTTACCTAGCCTAGACGTCGATGACCTAGGTGTCCAATAAATACTTTTTGATGTAGACAACCGTACGGGCCTGGCATGGTGCGGTGGGCGGCAAAGGTACTTAAAAAACCTAAAGTGGATAACACCCACAACCAAAAATTTAAACATATTTTATAAATTCATATTTTATAAGTCAACGTAACATAAAATATACCTACTTTCTTTTCACATTTAACAATGAATCCCAATCTCAGAAACCGTTGTTTCGCAAACGACTGAATCTATTTCAATAATTATTATCATGGTTCAGAGAATGTTGGTAAGAAGTAAAAATACTTCTATTACATCACGCTAGATTAAATAAGTCATACTATGTAGGTACTTATGTATTTATGTACATACCTTTTTACTAAATAAATAAATCTATCTATATGTAATGTAATCTACATATTATATATAAAAAAAACATTTTCGTTCGTTAGTCTTGCTAAAACTCGAAAACGGCTGAACCGATTTGGCTTACTTGGTCTTGAAATGTTTGTGGAAGTCAGAAGAAGTAAAAATGACACCTAAGTTTTTCAACACATATTCTAAAATCTTTTCATAAAATAAAAACTATTTCAGATAACGACATGATAATTGTTATCGAATGAAACAAAAATATTAACAATTTTTTTTTAACAAACAGTAAAATTCTGTCTCAATCACTGGTCTCAATTTCGATGTACCTACCATGTTTAGTGGAAGCTGTGAAAGCTTGGAAAATAGCTTGCCCAAATATTGAAGAAAAGTAAGCGAAAATCTGTTGAACTCCTCTTGTTCAAATGCAGAGCGAGCTCGCCTTTTGGCCTTTTCTTCTTCTTGCTTTGCCTTCGTCCAACCTAGGCACTTTGTTGGACGACACCACATTCCGCGCTACAATTTGTTTAAGGCTTGGTGTTTCATTTTGTTCACCTCATCGTTGTCGTTGTGTTGAAGATGGTTGACATTTTCAGCCTTAGACGGCTTGTCGTGTAGCCGTAGTGCGGGCCATTTTGCTCGACACGCAAGCATTAATGACATAACTTGTCGAGCTCTTGTCTCCGTTGGCGTGCCAGCTACTTTAGAACCTAATGGCTTGGTACCTACGCGACGATGGCAAAAGATCCGATGGTATGTCATTATTCGCTTGGAAAATGGGTAAGCCTTTAGTATGGGAAGCCACTTGCGTTGATACTCTGGCGCCATCCCATCTACCAAGCTTAGCGTGTCGAGCCGGTGCTGCCGCTGCTGCTACCGAGAACCTCAAACGGCGAAAGTAAAATAGTTTAATTGGCAATTATGCTTTCGAACCCTAAGGTTGAAACTTTAGGGCTGTGGGGCCCAAGTGCACATTTTCTTTATCAAGATATTGTAAGGAGGATGGTTGAAATTTCAGGTGATCGAAGGGCTGGCTACTACCTTAGCCAAAGGTTAAGCATTGCTATTTAACGTGGCAATGCTGCCAGTCTTTTGGGCACCCTACCTCACGACAGCGATGAGGAAAATTTTTCTTTGATGCCTTAAGATAGCATTTTTATTTTTTATTTTTTAAGGTGTGAATATTTTAGTTATTAATATTTTAATTTGTATATATTTATTTAATTTAAATTTCTATTAATAAAGAAATGATTACAAACTCGGTTTGATTTTGATAGCTGGTCAGAATGGAACGCATTTTGCTGTCAAAGTCATAAAGTGTCAGTGTCACAAATTCAATGACTTTTGAGGTTAAGTTCCTCTTGTTGAATCTTAGGTTATTTTTGTAATAGAAAAATCATTAAATTTAATTCAAAATGCCGTTCATGAAAGGAAGAGCACCTATTCGTCGTACTTTAAACTATTTAAACGCCGGTCGACTAGTTTTGAAGGATAAAATCAAAATATTCTCAGTGGCGTACAATATAAATGGACAAAACAATTTGGGAGCAAAGGAATTTGTATTTTGGTACTTGCCACAGATTCAATATAAAAATCCCGACGTGCAGGTAGCTACCTTGAAGAACCTGACTCCATCACCATTCATAAAATGTTATTTTGAAGATGGCAGAAAGATTTTAGTTGATGTAGACAACAAATCTAAAGAAGAGATTTTAGAGCATTTAATTAATACTGTTGGTGAGTTTAAAGTTCTTTCTAATTTAAACTTGATGCCATAGGTTATAATTATATTCCAGACAGACACTGAGTTCTTGACTACCAATAGATAGTAGTAAAGACAAATGCATGCTGATGATTAATGACAAAGATTGATGACTGTTAATGAAGTGAAAGAGGTATGTAAGAATCGTAGTAATTGGCGTTCCTTAGTCTGCCTACCCCCATGGGAGACAGGCGTGAAGTGATGTACTTATGTATGTATGTAAAGACAAATCTGCCGCTAACTTAATATATGCCTTGTTTATAATGCTTGGAAGGTCAATCTGAAATATTGAAATAAAATGACTGCCTCGTTGGCCGAGTGGTCGCAAGTGCGACTGCCGGGCAAGGGTTCTCGGGTTCGTTCCCGGGGCAGGCATAGTATTACTGTTTTTTATAAATTCTCAGTAGTAGCACGAAGTCTGGAATTGTGCCCGGTATTATGGCAATAGGTTCACCCTCTATTACATGGGACTCATAACATAAATTGTGAAAAGTGGGTGTTACATTGTACAGTGGCATAATGTACCTCTGCCTATCCCTTCGGGGATAAAAGGCATATTGTATGTGAAATAAAATGTATAGTCACCCACTTCACACACTGCTGTGTTATAGCCTTATACTATTCTCCACCACGTCATGTTTTTCACCACAATAATAATGGATGAGGATCCATCCATCTGCTACATGTCACCTGCTAGTGATAACCCATTTTGTTACTGAGTTAAAAATGTTATTTATAAAATTACAGGTAAATCAAAAGAAGTATTGGAACAGGAGGCAATAGCTGCTGAAAAGAAGGACAATCCTGCTAACTTCGGCATTGGATGTGAGCGTCCATGCATCTGTGAGGTGTACGGACAGATACCTTGCCCCGGAGTAGTGCCGTTACCAAAGTTCATGAGAGGAAAATACAAAAATGCCACAGATTAGATTAATATTAAATGTAAGTATGTTGGAAATGTATTATTTTGATATTTCCAAAGTAAAAGTAAAATTAACTATTTAATTTGCAATACGGGCTGAATTTTCCAGAAGGATGACGGGCAAACATGCATGGGAAAATCAACCAATAACGACCAGACATAAATGTCTTTGGAAAACTCTTTTCATGACTATCATTTGTTATTATTGGGGCTACTTTCAATTTGCTGTCGGGAAAATGTAGTTACTTTAACTTGTAAACTAAATGTATGGAGTCTGGACCCAACCCTAAATAACATGATGTACATCATTGGATTCGGCGTTTTAAATGGAACAATATTTGCGAAAACACCTATGGTCAAATGTTAGTATCTTCGGAGGTACAACTTCCTAAAGTCTTTAAATCTGAGCACTGAAACATTACCTATATAGACACTATAACTCCAAAACCACTATTGAGCTTAGTCATAATACAAAGTTTTATTCTGCATAAGAATACCTATCCATAGGGGGGTATCTTATTTGTATTGAGAGGTGGGCCCAACATTACACCCCATGTCCGTTAATAGGTATCATTTAACCCATATATCCCCAAGCGGTCACCGGTGACCGCTCTCCACTAATATTACATTATAGACCTTATTTCCAATGTTTAGATACTACTTTTGTATGACCAAATTTAGGGGATGGATTTCAACGGGTTAAGTAACTATAACATTTTCCCCACAACTAATTGAGACTAGCTTCAATAATAATAAATGACAACATAACATCACGCCTTTTATCCCCGAATGGGTAGGCAGAGGTGCACATTATGCCACTGTACAATGTAACACCCACTTTTCACTATTTATGTTACAAGTCCCATGTAATAGAGAATGAGCCTATTGCCATATAATAATAAATGATAATCATAAATAGAGCTTTCTAATGACATACTTCTGGTTGTTATTGGTCGGTAGGTACATAATATTGTCGGTCATCCTTTACTGGAAGTTAAAACAGAAATAACTGAATATTTGACATTCTTCCATATTAAAAAGATTTTAGTAAAAACTGTGAAATGTATATTATATTCCACAGTTAAGCATTATCTGTTGATTGAAAAATGGCCATTTGAAGGACCAATTATATGTTCATATATGGTACCGGAAATCCCCAAAATTTGTTCATACAAAAGTAGTCTCTAAACAGCAGAAATAAGGTCTATAATGGAGTTAGTGGATAGCCGAACCACTTTCAGCTTGTAGATTGAACAGTTAAGGCACTATTATACTGTTCTCTTTGTTGGAGATGATACAAAATTCTGTCACATAACATAACTATAACAATAAGTACTGACCATATAATTAGGACATAGCAATTATGTACCTACTTGTTTATTGTAGGTTTGATTTTACAAATGTAACTTATCAAAGACTCAATCCTTTCCCCTATCTCCTAAAGGCCGGCAATACACTAAACTTGTCTTCTATCTGACAGTAGTTCCATTTCAAGAAAGAAATTAGAAATCTTAGCTTTTAACCATTAAGCTAACATGCATTGGAAGCAATATAAAATTGGTCATCTTATTTAATTCAATCGTTTTGAAGTTATAAGCCAAACACATATATTTATAAATACTTTTATCTATCGATAAACAAAAACATTTCCAACATTTCTAAGCTAAGTAAGTTGTAGATAACGCAAATAGTTTTAGTTGTAATTTTATTGTAATAAAAACAAAATTAAATTAACTTATGTTTTATTGAATAACTACACTGTTAATATAGTATGAAACAGGATAATATACTTTATATAAAAACACAAAAACAATACCTTGACAATTGGTATATAAAACATCAAATAGAAAATTGAGAAAATACTAATATTTTGCCAAACTTTTGTTTCACACAGTGGCGTCACTACAGGGTGGCAAGTCAGCAAAATGCCACGGACCTCCAGCTGGAAGGGACCCCGTTTAGAGATTTCCATCTGAACTTCTCTGTTTTTTTTTTATTGGGAAAGGGGGCCCATCAGATGAATTGGTGACGGCCACGAACGGTATAGTTACGCCACTGGTTTCACACAAAAGTTTCATCAATCAAAATTATCATGAATCAATAAATTCTCTTTTAATTTCACATACACATATATAATGTTAAACCTTGTCCAAATACCTAATAAGGCAGAACTGTAAAGGCCACTTCACTTGCCATCCGGGCCGGACCATATTCGAAAATCTGGACAAATTAAAATTTTCCTCTTTAAAACTTATAATCTCGGCAATGATGAGCCATTAGTGCAGCAGCAATGTAGTGCAAATTCTGGAATGCTGTGAAGGTCCTAGCATTGTCATTCCAGAAGAGTAAGTCATCGACTTCCTCCCCTCTTGGACAGGTGTGGAAGAAAATCCAGCGGAAACATGTTTGTTGGTTAATGTCCTGGAAAAACATCATATCGTTAGAGCGGAGGATTTAGCCCCAAAAGTTTCCTTCCAGTAGTCAAAGTCCACATAGGTATTACGTAACATCCACTTTCAGGTCATCTGGATCTGCCTGGAATAGTAGTATGTTGTATGGCAAGGGACTTTTACAGGTGAAAAGTGGGGATTTACTTCATTGATTGCAGGCCCGATGTTTAGCTACGAAATCTCGCCTGGTGGTAAGCGACGATGCAGTGATAGATCGCGCCTGCTTTAATAACATTGTTTATGTGCAATTCTGCCTACCCCCAGGGAATCGAAAGCTGAGACGTCATAGTGAAAACAGTGTAATATTTACTGTAATTCCCAGCATGAATTCTGGTAGTTTTTCCGCCTTCTGTGTAGTTGGACCTGCTATTACGACGCAGGCGTTGCTTATGGCATCCGATGTTTCCGAACACTGCCGAGCTTCCGTCGCTGTGCTTGCGCACATTGCCTTACTGGTTTCGTACAAGAGAGGGGTGACTGGACACTTCTGAGGAAAAATTTTTCTTTTGCAAGTAGATAGCTGATTATAGTTAGCTATTCTGTAGGTGGGAAAATAATAGCGAAGGTCGGTTCGACAGGAGTGATCGGTTTTTTTATAAGGGCGATAACTAATCATTCAGTGACTTCTCCCACCTTGAGTGAGGCAAGAGGGAGTGTCAGACTCTTACTGACTAAAACCATCCTGTTCCTACTTCGGTAACCATCCTGTTCCTACAACTGTGTTAAGTGTGAGAGAGTCATGCTTCGGCACCAATGGGCCGGCTCGATCGGAGTGATACCACGGCCTCACAGAAAACCGACGTGAAATAACGCTTGCTCGCTTATCGAAACACAACGTTTTGTTGTGTGAGCGAGGTTACCGGAGGTCCATCCCTCCCCCCCTTCCCCAATCTCCCCAATCCCTAAAATACTAAACAATCCTAATTCCTAATCCCCAAAAATTCCCAGAGACGTTAGTTAGTCTTTGGGGATGATCCATGTGTCCATGCTTTGTGTAATAACTTACCTTGCAACAACATTTGAATTTGATATTGGCTCCAAGCATTGGGCACAGCAAGAGATAGGAGTTAAGGACTGGATGCGGAGGCCCCACGTAGGATAGGTTGATTCCTTGCATTGTACCATATTCTTCCTGTAATTGTGTTAAAACTAGTTAGTATTTTCTAGTCTTTTGGTTGTGTTTCTGAAGCCGCAGGTTGTTTCAAAGACAGGATTGATAACTCTTGTACTTCGAGGACACCAAGGTTGCTCATAAAAAGCTTTGTGCTATAAGAGTGCTTCGTTGGTCTTGTGATCGCAGTGTGACTGACGAGAAAGATAAGTCGGATTCGGGCAAACTATTATTGACATTTTTTAGCCGGTTAAAAGCCACCTACATCCAGTGGCTCCCAGCAACTTGTTCACCTTATGATTGGATGTCGTGTGCTGCTCCTGCCGGTACGAGGCCTTTGTTGAAATGGAAACAACGTAAACCTTTTTATAGTCATACAAAAAATCAAATAAAAATAATGAAATCACCATAATAGCCATGATGGTGGCCAGAGACTGTAAACTGGCGTGTGTCCTGGACTTCATACACAGCACTGGCACTAAGGATCTGGTAGCAAACCGCTGGACACACATTTGAGTCTTCGTCGATATAAATATTATATCTGCCATGTCTGAGAATATTCTGGAACAATAGGTACGATCCTTACTCATCTTGAATCGCGTGGATGCAATTGTTTTTAACTTTTTTATGGAATAGGAGGCAAACAAGCAGACGGATCGCCTTATGGTAAGCTATCAGCGCCGTCCATGGCCACCCGCAACACCAGAGGAGTCACAGGTGCGTTGCCGGTCTTTTAAAAAGAATACGCTCTTTTCTTGAAGGTTTGAAGGTCGTATCGGTTCGAAAATACCGCCGACGACAGATCATTTATCAGTTTTGCAGTGCGAGGCAGAAAGCATCGTGTGAAGCGCACTGTTGTGGCCTGCCAACCATCTATATGATGGAGATGCATATGCTGTCATGAGGGTCGATGGCGAAATGATGCGGCAGGTATCAAATCTTCTGTTAGATTATTACATCCAAAATTTGCGATTTCGAAATTATCAGGGTCAAGTATTATCGTATTTGTAACGCAGTATCGAGCGCGTTGATTGGTTGGTTCACCGGCACAAAAAAAAATTACATAACATAACATCACGCCTTTTATCCCCGAAGGGGTAGGCAGAGGTGCACATTATGCCACTGTACAATGTAACACCCACTTTTCACTATTTATGTTATGAGTCCCATGTAATAGGGGGTGAGCCTATTGCCATATACATATACATATACAAAAAAAATTAATGAGTAAAGAAAATGCTGAAAATATGCATTGGACCATATTTCTACCGCTTCAGTTTGATATCAGTTGAGCGACAGCCCTCAACAAACTTATAGGGGTGATACCATATCTTTTGTGTTTGGTATAAAAGTTTTCAGCTTTTAACTGCCCACATGACAATCGTACCCGAATGTTATTTCTACCCGCTCCCTTCCTGCTCACTGCACAGATAATAAAAATACCCAGTTTAAAACACGTTAGCATACTTATGCGCTGGTGTTTAAAACACCAGCGCATAAAAATCTAGTCTAATCTAGTAAACGTTAGTTAAATTTTTCGTTGTTGACTTCTCAATGTATCAACTGAACAGGGACGGGGTACTGGGTCCCAAATATTTGGACTGCAAGGTTGGTGCGGTGGCTGGAAAACTAGCGAATCCGCGGATTCGATTCCCACACGGAACAACTCTTTGTGTGATCCACAAATTGTTATTCCGGGTCTGGAAGTTATGTGTATTGTCAGTCAACTTGTATGTTACCCATGAGAAACACATGAGAAAATCCTGGGCAAGGTTTTCTTTTTAAATTATATGGATATCCTACATTTACACAAATAGATCATAATTTCAGTAAAAAGACCCCATGGTGTAAGAGTTTTGGCTGCCTGCGGCCTCCCTTCCATAGCACTTATGTGATCCCCTTCTACTTATGTGGTTAATCCAGAACTGAATTCTAGGCTGCCTCGTTGGCCGAGTGGTCGCAAGTGCGACTGCCGGGCAAGGGGTCTCGGGTTCGATTCCCGGGTGGGCAAAGTACCACTGGGTTTTTAAAAAATCTCAGTAGTACACGGAGTCTGGAATTGTGCTTGGTATATGGCAATAGGCTCACCCCCTATTACATGGGACTCATAACATAAATAGTGAAAAGTGGGTGTTACATTGTACAGTGGCATAATGTGCACCTCTGCCTACCCCTTGGGGGTAAAAGGCGTAATGTTATGTTATGTGTGAATTCTAGGAAGATCTTTTACCTGCCGTGATAATCTTGTTCCCATAGCACATCCTCGATTATTCCTACATCGGCTGCTCCTAGCAAGGTTGCTGCTTTTGAGACAGCCATAGTCAGCATCGGTTCGTTGACCTCTTGAAGAATCATCACCTTTGCGTTCGGTATTATGTCCTGTAATAAAAATATTAAACAATGTGATGTTGTTTCCCAAATTTAATGTTGTACAGTTTCGTCTGGTTTTCGTGGTATTTGTAAGCTGAATACATACTTCATACTTGATTTCTTTTTTGGGGGTTTAACATATTGAACCCATCACCCATAGGTGATGTAGGTAACGAATCAGTATACAATAGGTTTAGTACTTTAAGATAATGTCTGTTCTGTCTAGATCTTATGATGATGGTTATTGGTTACCAAACGACTGATAAAAATGCATAGCTGAGACGAGTGATCAAGTTAGGCGGATAGGTAGTTACCTAGACCAATAAATTGTATAATAGAGAAGCAATGATAATATACCCGCTCTGCTCTGCCCCTATTGATCGTAATGATGTTTTATAGCCTTCCTCAATAAGTAGGCTATTAAACACAAACATTTTTCGAATTCGGACCAGTAGTTCCTGAGGTAAGCGCTTTCAAACAAACGAACAAACTCTTTAGCTTTATATAAAAAAAAAACAATTGGATAAGAGTGTAAAATAAGATTTGTTATGTCAACAGGTTTCTCGGGAGAGAAGTCTGTGGTAAAAGGAACCCAATGGAAGTATGTAGGTAATCATAAAAGAAAAAGACATACCAATCTCTTGTTGTGGGTATCTCTCATTCGACATTTCAAGTTTAAAGCACTGATTATAATATCTAAAACCATTTGTCCAGTCCATTGCTTGAAACAGATTAAATGTCGTGGTGGTACGATTCTTGTGTATCTGGAAAATAAAAATATACAGAAAATGACATCCTTTATTACCTTATTTGCGGAATGATCATCAATTTGAGAAAACGACCTTGTTAAGTTTCTAGGTATTGAAGTAACTACAGTTCTAAGATGAGTTTGATTACAAAGGTATTGAAGAAAATAATTGATCCTCTATAGAATAGAATCAGGCGTCACTTTGCGAAGATCCATGCTTCACTAACAACTGGGAAAATATTTACTTTTTATTCCGGTGAAAGAATGAATTTGCATGCAGTATGCAGCACCACCCTCCGCCCCCAGATAAACGCTCATGCAGCTGAGACGCGGCACAAACATACACACGACACCCAACAAACCACTCGAACTACACTCGCCATAATTATGTTTCACTCCTCCACGGAGCATCCTCAAGAGTTGCTGCCTCGGCGACTCCCATGGCTCAAATTCTAGCGTGTCGATTGTGTCATCTCTGCTGCATTGGGCGTTTATCTACGGGTAACTTTTCAAGGTCAATAAGAAGTGTGGCCAATGACATTTGTTGAAGGTGAAGCCCTTGATGGTTGCCTTGAGAAATCCAATGCTAAAATTGGTCTTTTTGCGAAATCGGGTCTGTGCACAAATCCTATTGTTGAGCCGTACTAACCGTGCTAGAACTAGAAGTAGGTACCTATTTCATTACTAAAACAATAAAGATCAAAGCAACAAATTTTATACTCACTCACAAGTTTTACTATACGGGAAACGCTGTAATAATGAGTCATATTTTATTATTGATTTGAAATATTTTGAAGCTAGTCCAAAGTTTAAGGATGCAGGACGAAAATTTCGAGTCATTTTTCCTAATCCGAAAATCTCCCCATGAAGATAAGACCTACTAATTTGACATTAAAAGATAATTATAGACATTTGGTTTTGTTTTTAATTTTTCCTGTTTGTCATAGATGCAGATTTTTGGGGTTTGAAACTTATTGGGCAAGTTGGTACCTACCTCCTTGACTATTCTGTGACTCCTTATACTTCTTAGAATGGTTCTTTACACTTAAATCATTAGACGAAAAGTATTGCGAAAATCAATTATATTTAAATCGTTTTGGGGGAAAATTGGTACAATTGTGAAGATGTTTTTTGCAAAGGTGTGCGGCGTGTGACCTGCGATCGAGTAACTGTAACGAATTAAGTCGGAAAGTCGGAACTATAGATAGGTAATTGTGATTTTTTCTTTTAAAAATTTACCTACTTTAGGTACCTCGCCCACGGCCACTTTTTGTAGGGATGCTGTCGCACGTCCGCATGGATACAGTCGTGAATGGCATACAAAAGTAATACACGGTAATAGCGATGCTGTTGCGCTTTTTGTGAATACGCGCCGAGGCCCGTAGAGTCAAGGGTTATAGTTATTCTCTGTAAGGCCAGATCAATACAATATCAAATAACTCAAGAAAAGTGCTCCACAATGGCTTCATTCTCTGACTCCAAAAACGTACTACATAGCGTTATTTATTCAGTATTTAAAGCGAAACAAAATAAAAATGGAGGCAAAAGGTCGTTGTGGGGAAAGCGGTGAGTTTGTACAATTCGTTAGGCGAGCAAACCGTGTGGCAGGAATACTTTGAGTCAGTATACAGAGTTATTGCAGCAGTTCAAGTGAATGGTTTTGGTAGGAATTGATTTTTGAATCATTTATTTGATGAAGTTTATTTCTGTGTGTGTTGTGTTCTTGAATATTTTATTTATTAGATTGTTTGTTGGTTTAACAAGTGATAGTGACTGTCTCGAGTTCAGTGATCGAAGTAGGTATTTTCTGTTAGATATTTATTAATAAGTCAATCTTAATCTATTACTTTCGGACTAACTCGAAACATCCCGTCAATTCCATCAACAGCCTATTCTCGTTGACCGCTGAGCTCGATCTTCAGCCCTACGCATCCGACCATTACCAGCTACTTTGCGGATATCGTCACTCCATCTAGCGGGAGGATGCCCTACACTACGTTTGCTTCGACGTGGTCTTCACTGCAGAACAGGTCTACCCCAACGGTCAACGGTTCTTCGACAAATGTGACCGGCCCACTACCATTTCAAAGTCAAAGTCAAAATCATTTATTTCAATTAGGCCAGAATGGCACTTTTGAACGTCAACAAAAAATAAATAAAAGTGAAGCTATTCAGCTTGCAAATTTTTTGGGCTACGTTGGTAACTTTAGTTCTCCGTCGGACCACCTCGTCATGGATCCTATCCTCCAGAGAAACTCCGAGCATAGCCCTCTTCCATAGCTATAGCAAAACAGTAAATTACCGAATACGGTGACGAGGCATTCTTTTTACACACGAAAATGTGATGGTTTTTTTATACTACTGACGTGGCAAACGAGCTTACCTCCTTTATTCCTTGATGGTAAGCAGTTACCATCACCATTCGCCAGTGTACCACAATCCTTTTCACCTTTTAAGTTCCAAGTCCTTAATTCTTGCAGAAGCTCCTCTTATTGAGTTACAGATATCAATGTGCGGCGCTGATTGCTTACCACCTTAAAAGCTGGGTTGCCTTAATCCCATGAACATAATACTTCTGCCATATCCCTGTGCCGTGTTCACACTCCATTCAAAGTTTACGTCGTTAGCGAAGTGATTCCGTCAATGCCATTCATCACGCCGTTGTTCGGAATGCGATGTCAAACTGTTTACTGTTGTCACTCGTCGCCTCGTCAGTTAGTCTGCTAACAATAATTTAGAAAGGTAGGTAGGTACTGTGGTTCTGGAAATGGACAGCAAAATACTTAAGCTGAACGTAACTTACTTAACATAGCAGAACTTGATAGATAACGAAAACTTATTTCACATCTGTTCCTGTCTAAGGTAAGGTATATTTTTTCATACCACGACGGTGGTAAAAAAAACACACGGCCCACCAGCAGCTGTAGCCAAATGCCATTTAGCGCTTGTCTACATGTAGAATAGAAAACCAAATTATATGGAATTGACGTAAATTTTCACATTTGTCAGTGTCATCCCCATACATTTAGTTTTCTACTCTCTCTGTAGACAAGCGCTAAAGTGGCGTTTGGCTAAAGGCACTAATGGTAAGTGATTACCGTGGCCCATGAACGCTTGCAACACTTGGGGCATTACATGTGCCTTGTAGTGCAAGCCTAACATGTCACACTCACTTTGCAACAATTGTGGTATGAGTCCCATGTTATTGGGGGTGAGCCATTTACTAGCTAGAAATCCAGACTATGTATGTGGTAATACAAGAAAGTTTGAAACCTTAGTATCTTGCACAACCCTTAAATATAAAAAGAAAGATAGAAAAAAACCATTTATGTATTACGCCACGACACACAATAAGGATACAGGTACACACAAAAAGCCCATGTTGCGTCGCAGCGCAAAAAGCTGGAGCTCAGCTTAACCCGTGACAACCCGGAACGTAGATAGAAGTACGGGAGAGGGAGACAATGTATTTTCTATTTTGTCTCATATACCGGCACTCAAGAGCTTAAGACTATGGCCCGGGCACGGTGGCGAGTCCACGGCGCTGATTTTTAGCACCAGCCCAAAGTAATAGGTAATTATAGACCTACCGCAACGCTGTTCGGAGCACAGCATGATATCTTATATCTTATACTATTATATAAAGCGGACGTTTGTTTTTTTGTTTGTTTGTTTGAACGCGCTAATCTCCGGAACTACAAGTCTGATTTGAATTTTTTTTTGTGTTGGATAGCGCATTTATCGAGGATGGCTATAGGCTATAAAACATCACGCTACAGCCAAAAGGAGCTGAGCAGAGCGTGTGAAACCGCGCGGAAGTAGCTAGTAAGTAATAAAATTAATAAAACAGTGAAAACAAAATCAACAGGAACGATAAGTGCCAAAAAAAAATAATTAAAATAGTAACAAGAATAAAATTACATTTTAGTGCACATAGTGAAAATCGAACCTGAAACCCCTTGCTCAGTAGTAGCACTGGCAATTACAGTCAAGGTGAAAGCAGTACTTAGTAGACATCACTTCCGAATAGACCCTTATCCTCATAGTCACGTCGCGGAGAACCTACCGGGTAACCGGGGCTCGACGCGCAGGAGAAGGAAAGGGATGGTTTTTAGTCAGTATGAGTCTGACACTCCCTCCCGCCTCACCCAGGCGGAGGCAGTCATTCGATGATTTTCCCCCTTAAAAAAACCTCATAGTCACGTTTGAGACCACAACTCCAAAGAGTCCAATTTAAAATTTATAAATTGCAACATTTTTTTATTAATTCCCAAATCGACGAGGAAAAGCTAATCCGGAAAAGAAGCGGATCTCTGTCACACAATTTAGAAAACACAGCGGTACACTCTTTGGGTATGTATAATACAAGCTATGAACTTATCTGGGCCAGCCAGCTTATTAGAGAATCGATGAAGGTTGGGACGTCTTCTGAATCGGAAGCCGCGTCTAGGTAAAGTTACCTATGTAAGTAAGGTAGTATTCGTAGCGTCATCTAAGCGAGTGGCAATGATAAGATACGAAGATTTGAAGGCATTGCTCAGTAGCTTGCTGTTGGAGAGTTCTAACTCTAGTAATAGAAAGATATTGTTGTTTTGGGCCTAAATAAAATAAGCATTTATTACTGTGGTTACAAATTTACAATTTAGTCTCTATTACTATACTATACATCAGTAGTTTTATCCCCAGCTTATCCTCCGACATAGGCCTCCTCGAAAGATTTAGGCCTAAATGCGATTACCTAAATGTCACATGAAATTGTACATACATTTTGTAAACACACTCAAATAAAAAAAAATAGGTTATACTTATCCATTGATAGAGATGAGTGGAAGGAGGGTAGGGAGGCCTTTGTCCTCCACGACCATGACTAAAAATAAATAAATAAATAAAATAAATACATTCCCATTTAATTTGGTTTGTTCCTTTTCTTAAGACTTTGACTGCCAATAAAAAACTGTTAAAGGTAAATCCTCCGCTAACGCCGGTCACCGGTGATCCCCATGGCGTTTAACGTGTTAAGCGCTCTACAGCATTATTTAAAAATACATACCCAAAGAGTCTGAAATTATTTTTGCTCTAAAAAGTTGGATGCGGGCCTAACAATATAAATTGTCGTCCCTTTATTATTAAGGAAATATTTGAATATTTTATAATTTTTTCCTTTTCCATTGGACAAAATTTGGATCTTCCGTTTTGTTTGTTTTCGGAATTACGTAACATTAAACTTGTTTTCTTTAAAGAGCTTGCAGAGATGTTTCTTTTTATGATATAAAAGTCGCATGCGTTGTTCTTTTAAAGGGGTAAGTAGGCTTTTAAAGAGGGATGTGTAAGTATTCTTTGACGAGGCAAAAGCAAGAGCAGTACTGACGGACGAGATTTGATTTCCCCTTTAGACAATTTATTTCATTTCCAAGTTTTTCAATTTCAACATTTTTAAGTGTGGGAGAGCCATGCTCCGGCACGAATGGACCGGCTCGACCGGAGTGATACCACGGCCTCGCAGAAAACCAACGTGAAGCAACGCTTGCGTTGTGTTTCGTCGTGTGAGTGAGGTTACCGGAAGTCCAATTACCTTCCCATTCCCCAATCTTCCCAATCCCTGAATCCCTAACGATCCTCAAACTCCTAATCCCCAAAAGGCCGGTAACGCACTTGTAACGCCTTCGGTGTTCCAGGTGTCCATGGGCGATGCCGATTGCTTACCATCAGGTGAATAATAAAAAAAAAATCTTAGTAATCGTATTTGGTTACAAATAAGTTATGCTTTTCCCTATCCTACTCCAAAGGGTTATTATAGCGAGTGACGTAACATAATTTATATTTTGAAAGACCTGCCCCCACCGAAGCCATAAAAACAATTCAATAGAAAACTTGAACAACCGAATTATGTCATCGTTATGGTGAAATAACTTTATTTTCAATACCAACCTACTCAAAATTGAACGGATATTACAGCCTACACAAAATTCTTACATAAACAACAATAAATTTATTAAAAAGATTTTTTTTACGAAAATTACGTAACTATAAATAAGGTTTTGAGCGTAAAAAGTAATTTTATTCTTGACTAAGTTTTGTCTGCGACTTCGTTAGTTTTCGTGAGTATGGCGCATTATGGCCGGATAAAGAGTAGTACTTATTATTGTATTTTAGATTATCTATGTGTGAAATTGAATTCATAGCAGATTAAGTAGTAATTTTTGCGTGATGCATTTATTCCAAAATAGAGATAGCTTCTTCTCTACCTAAGACATCGTTCACGTCAATTTTCCTCTCAGAACACCGACGTGAAACAACACTCGCGTTGTTTCGTCTCCGAATCTCCAACAATCCTCAAATTCCCAATCCCCAAAAGGCCGGTAATGCACTTGTAATATACCTCTATATATGTAGGTATCTGGTGTTTTGTGTGGCAATGGGCAACGCCGATTGCTTACCATCAGGTGATCTGTCTGCTCGTTTACCGGCCTATCCCATGAGAAAAATAACAGGTTTTGTCATATTCTCTACGCTTGACACGCGGGTCATAGAACATCTATCAAAAGTAGCCTTAGCCACACTTTAGACATCTGTGGAAGGAGTAAAATAGGTACCAGTAAATTAGTAAGTGATGCACTGCGACGAAGGGTTGGCCTGGTGATCTGTGATACAGGTTTTACCCTACAGTCACCAGTCTCAAGTTAATATGTGACATTGTTCGATGTATCTGTATTGTTAATTGTCGAGAAATACATGATTTATTATTATTATAGGTAAATTTCCGACAGACATACCCCAGTTACAATTTTCTTCTTATATATGGATGGAAAAAACTAATATCCTCATATTACGGCCAAGGCGTTACGTAAATCAGCCGTCAATATGATGTTCACAGCTGGCTAGAGGCAACGTGGATATAATGTTTCATTTGCATTATCAATGTTTTACTAGATCTTATAAGATTATAGTCGCAAAATTCATTTTTTTCTTAGAAAAGACTGCCTCACACTAGGATTTTCTAGAAATAGAAATAGAAATTTATTCGCAGGAACATGTGATACAATGGATCTTAGTCTAACTTTCAAACAGTACAGTGTATTCCACCTTTTCCAGGCATGCAAATGTTTGTTTATAGTAGGCACTTTATATAATATAGAATATAAATCCAATTTCATTGATTAATTATTACGTAATGTCAAAATAATGATTCCAAAATGTCAAATTAATTTTTTAAATACATGTCAAGGCAAAATACATTATGTCAAATACATTATGTCAGTAAAATTACATGTCATAATATTAAAATCTATTTCGTTCTACAATTCCATAGTCAATGAAGTCTTTAATACTGTAAAAACATTTTCCAATTAGCCATGCTTTCAACTTAATTCTAAATTGACGCAAAGGTAGTTCTCTAATAGATCGAGGAATTTTATTATATAC